TTTATATATATTTTATTTTTATATATTGAAATATATATGTATATATATATATATATATATATATATATATATATATATATTGTTTATTTAGGATATAATCTTGTTTTTTTTATATATATATATTTTCTTGTATATGATATAATAGATTATATATAGCATTATACACTTATTGTAAAATTATATAGACAATGATTATTTGAACTATATGTTTGCCTAAAAGAAAGGAGAAAAAATAAATACACTTTATAAGCCCGTGAAATGAAATTAGTGTAATATTTTTTAGTCGAAAATTAATTAACGTAGTAGATGTGTCACCGCCAATGAAGAGAACTATTGAACTCCATTTGTGGTAGATTACCTTGAACGAGAAAAGACACCTACTTTTCATCCAAAAAGTGGAGAAGGCATCACTGATATAAGATAAGATAAGATAATTATTGAATTTTCAATATTTTATATTAAATACTTCTGCAGAATTGTTGATTCGTTCTCAAAATATATCTTCATCAAATCCAAAAATGTGAGCAAAGTATCATCCACAAAATGACACGTCAAATTTTTGGGAGAAAAACGACAGTGGATGGTTACAGACAACTTGCACTGCAACCATTAGTATTTTGTGAAGCTCCTCAATCATCATTAAGCAGAAGAAGCACCCTTTGGAGATATTTGCTTTGGTCTTGTTCATTGACATGGCAACTCGTAGATTTTCATGCCTCCTCTCTCGCTCTCTATCGGCTTCTCTACTTCACTCACTTGGTAACCATTAACCAGCATACTCTCTTCTCTTCCTTATCTTCATTTTGCAGCTTTCCCTTCTTGCTTTTGGTCACTATTAATTTATGGGTTTTATATAGATTTGGCATTTTTAAAGTGATGGATAATATACTCTGCTGGGTATTTCTTCTTTGCTTTTATCAAAGTACAGAACATGAACTATGTGACTGATTTTTTATTTTTTATTGTACCTCATTTATTAAAAAGTTCTTTTAAACTTTTGTACAAGCAGTTAATAGATCATGTTTTTACACATATAGTTAGATTCTATTCTCCTCTCTTTAACCACTTCAAATATGTGATATGTGTACCCATCTGACGTCTTTTCCTGTACTTTCCATTAGTCTATTGGTTATTAACTTATTATTCATTTCTTGTAGTTTCTTCTCTCTATTTGTTCTTCTTTTTTCTCTTATAATTTATCTAATTATCATATCTTGAGTATTTTTTTACCCTGCCCAACATAATGAGTGTTTTGCAGTGACTGAAAGCTAGATTATCAGTTATCAGAATGTCATGTCTTCAATTCATTGCATAAAACTTCCACATGGTTTTTTTTCCCACAGGGAAAAACTCTAGCAAGTGGGGAAACGTTAACAGATTCAGCACTGCAGCAGCAGTTGATGAATTAGTCACTCCACAAGTTCCAATAACATACACAAAGCATATGATAAATGGACAATTTGTGGACGCTGCATCAGGTTTTGTCTAGTTTGAACTGACCAAGGCCTGTTTACTTTGCCGATTAACAAAAACTCTTAAGTTTGCCATTTCTTGTGGTCTCAGGGAAAACCTTTCCAACATATGACCCCCGCACAGGAGAAGTGATTGCTCAAATTGCTGAAGGTGATGCAGAAGATATCAACCGTGCAGTATCAGCAGCTCGCAAGGCCTTTGATGAAGGACCTTGGCCAAAAATGACAGCTTACGTAGGAATTTGATCTTCTCCCTTTGCTTGAAGAAACCTGAATTAATGTAGAATATATATTCCATACACGATAGTATAGAGTTTTTACACTTCCAATCAGACAATGACAAATTATTGTATATCGATCGACTTTTATCATAAGTATCTCATAACTAAGTTAAAAGTCAATCTTACCACGATTTTTTATTTATTAATAATATTGACAGTTCATAGATATTGATCTTGTCTAGAGTATAACAATGATTTGTTAACAACATCTTCAGGAAAGATGTAAGATAATTCTACGCTTCGCTGATTTGGTTGAGAAACACAGTGATGAAATTGCAGCGCTTGAGACATGGAACAGTGGAAAGACTTATGAACAGTGTGCCAATTCTGAATTACCATTATTTGTGCGTTTGTTTCATTACTATGCTGGTAGGTTCCGTACTAAACCAGTTAGATGTTTGTGCTTGTAATCCATACCTTTTAATTTTTTCAGGACAAACTGCTTATATGTTCCAAACAATTATCTTTTTTCCAGGTTGGGCAGATAAAATCCATGGCCTGACAGTGCCTGCTGATGGAAATTATCATGTGGAGACATTGCATGAGCCAATTGGTGTTGCAGGACAAATTATACCTTGGAACTTTCCTCTCATCATGTTTGCTTGGAAAGTTGGACCAGCTCTTGCAACTGGAAATACTGTCATCCTTAAGACTGCTGAACAAACACCTTTAACAGCTCTCTATGTGGCAAAACTATTTCATGAGGTGAGCTCCTAAGTCATAAGCCTTGCTCTCACCCTCCTTTTTCTAATACACAATATTAATTAGACTACTAATCATCAAGTACTTGCTAGTTTAGTGACTTTATTCCATTGTCGTATCTCTGTCTCCCAAAAACATTGTTGGTGGTGATACATCTTTCTATTTCTTCAATTTTACCATCTTATGGAACAATAAATAATTAAATCAAAGTTTGTAAGAACTATTTACTATATTTCTGACAAGATGATGTGGTACTTCATATTCTGAAGGAACATTTCAGTTACATTTGTGTTTTCTTCGGAGTTTTAAGTTATGTGCACCCTTTTTGGCAGGCTGGTCTTCCACCAGGTGTTTTGAATATAGTTTCTGGCTATGGTCCAACTGCTGGTGCAGCTCTTGCAAGTCACATGGATGTTGACAAGGTATTTTGGAGAACCAAGCATCTTAGACTTTTCTTGTATGGTATGGGACATTGTAGAGTATCAAGAATGGTCATGGCTTGATTTTTCTACGATACAAGTTGTTAAAATCATTTAGGGTGCTTACATATGCATTGAATTTGCTAGCATAATTGGTCTGAAACCAGCATAAGGTTGGTCATGTTTTGTCAGGGGAGATGGTGTATTTGATGTATGGTCAATTTGGTGCCCCCTTAAATTAGGCATGAAAAAATGGAGATAGATTTTAGAGTAAATTGCACTGCAATCTTCTTAGATCTTGTGAAATTGCACTGCTACTTATGCCTTTTTATCGTTTATAATGATCTTCTTTACATAATGTTTTTCAAATAATTAATGAATTAATGTAATATCTAATAGGTATTAGTGTTACATTTTCCAAAATCGTTAAGGAGGTTATTGGGTTGGCCTGTATCAGAACAGGATCTCACTGTTTTTTCGAAACAATATTTCTTAATAGCCTAGGTTTTTTGGGCAGGTCTGCTGGTAGTTCTTAAATCTTAACAATATCAAGCATAGTAATGTGGATCTTATGCAAGAAAGTGCTGGCCTGCATCAACCAATTATGTCAAAATATCATATCAAAGTTCAACATCTTTTCTTTGATTTTTGCAGCTAGCATTCACCGGATCTACCGAGACTGGAAAAATTGTACTTGAATTGGCCGCAAAAAGCAATCTTAAGCCTGTGACATTGGAGCTTGGTGGGAAATCACCTTTCATAGTGTGTGAGGATGCTGATGTTGACCAGGCTGTAGAACTTGCGCACTTTGCTCTGTTCTTTAACCAGGTTTGTTCAACCAAATCCCATCAACTTACTTGAAGTTGAATCTGCATATGCAGATGTGAGAACATGCTTATGACTTATGTTGGATTTTCTACAGGGGCAATGTTGCTGTGCTGGGTCTCGTACCTTTGTACATGAACGTATCTATGATGAGTTCTTGGAGAAATCAAAGGCTCGTGCTTTGAAACGTGTTGTTGGGGATCCCTTCAAAAAGGGTGTCGAACAAGGACCTCAGGTACTTTTTCTATTCAAAGTTTGCAACATATGAGAAATGCATCACCAACCTAGGGTGACATATTTGATACATAACCTTGTCTCTTAAACATGGATATTCCTGTGTAAAAAATATCTATCAAGAAGACTCCTTAAATGAATCTCCGTACTTGTAAAAATTAGCCTTTGGCACCTGGTCAAGGATACCTTATAGTAGTCTTAGACTATCAAATAATTTGTCTTTGGTCTCATTCCAAAACATGTTATTGATTGAGTTCTTTCTTGGTTTTGGTTGTTACTTTTACAATTAGTAGTGTGTCTAAGTATTGAGTTCAATACATTTGAAAATGGGAAGTTAACGTTTGACAGAACATTTAATATGTTCTTCATTAATCAATACATTCTTATCTTACTATGATGGAACAAACTAACACTGTTTCTGGGCTGTGGGGAAAATCCCAGATTGACGTGGAACAATTTCAGAAAGTCCTTAGGTACATAAAGTCTGGTATTGAAAGCAACGCTACCCTTGAATGTGGTGGTGACAGAATTGGTTCAAAAGGATTCTTTGTCCAACCTACTGTCTTCTCAAATGTTCAGGTACGGAAAATTTAGCACAAGTGGTTTGCTGATCTTCAATACCTTGAAACATTTTCTAATTCATGCTGATAATCAGGATGACATGTTGATAGCAAAAGATGAAATCTTTGGCCCAGTTCAATCCATCTTGAAGTTCAAGTGAGCGAAACTTCAATTCTCAATTGCTTCTTTCTCGTTGCTAAAGTTTCCATGTGGATGAACTTATGTTCCGTTTGATTTGTTAAAAATCACAGTACTGGACAGAATTTGTTAAATATATGTATATCGCATTCTTTCTTTGGTGGGTCCCATTTTCAAACTAGTAGGACTCACATGAATTTAGTGTTGCAACATTTGATTAAAATTTCCATGCATCAGTGCAAAATGTTAGTAAACATTAATGGGGAACAAAAATGAATTTTTAATTGATCATTAATCTAATTTTGTTCAAACAACTTTTTTTTCTTTGCGTTATCACAGGGACATTGAGGAAGTAATTCGAAGGTCAAATGCAACGCGTTATGGTCTAGCTGCAGGTGTCTTCACTAAGAACGTGCACACAGCCAACACTTTGATGCGAGCACTGAGGGTTGGAACTGTGTGGATTAATTGCTTTGATGTTTTTGATGCTGCAATTCCTTTTGGAGGGTACAAGATGAGTGGCATTGGCAGGGAGAAGGGAATTTACAGTCTCAACAATTACCTGCAAGTTAAAGCTGTGGTTTCACCATTGAAGAATCCTGCATGGCTGTGAATCACTGAATTGCTCATACTTCTATCATTTTGTTCTTTAAGAGTCCTTTTGTAATTATGACATCATTTTCCACTGAGGCAATGGCATGCATAATGAAGGGTTGACTTTAAAATATAAGGTTAAGTGATTATGCAGAATGTTAAACTATAATATTCCTTATATTCAGAGTCCAAACAATACAAATTTATGAGAAATGCATGTTTTTTTAATGCATTTTATTGGTATTAATTGTTATTGATAGAGATTTCGCTTGAACTAATAAATAAGTTGTAACTCAATTTTATAGAGTTGAGTTAAGTTGAAAATTGAGATGTAAATAAAAGTAATGCGGATCGGTCCTATTGAATGTAATTCATTTTTCTGTTTTTTTTTTTTTAAGGAAAAGACACTAAAAGGGAGAGAAACACAAACAGCTTAAGCACCGTTGCAGAAATTGATGATCTAGTCACACCACCTGTGGAAATAAGATACACTAAAAATCTAATAAATGGGGAGTTTGTGGATGCTGTGTCAGGTACTCAGGTTCATGTGGTTTACTACTTCTAGTGTTATGTATGTAACTTTGTGTTGTTGACAAATTGTGAAACATCACGAGGAACAATTTCTTGGTCACTAGGAAAAACATTTCCTACATATGACCCGCGAACTGGGGAAGTGATTGCTAACGTTGCTGAAGGTGACCAAGAAGATATCAATCGTGCAGTGTCTGCAGCTCGAAAGGCTTTTGATGAGGGACCATGGCCAAAGATGACCCCTTATGTATGAACTTCCCCTGCCTCCTACATCTTTGGTTTCATATTGCAATTACAAATCCAATGCGATTATTGAAAGACTTTATAGATAGAGATTTTTATACTATCTTTCAATAGAAAAGGTTATTAATATAACTTTTATAGTAATTATTAAAAAATCAACAATGATACAATATACGAGAATTTATGATTAAATGGTTAATTCTTGATACTTAATAGCCTAAAAATTATTTAGGCTTAACTGTATTATTTGTTATTTGTAAATGTTGTCATCAAATTTTTGAAATTGTACATTTTATTTCTCAAATTTTAAAATTTTAAACATTTTGTTATTTCATTAATTGTCTATTTGATTTTGTTATGTGATATGACATTTTAATATATTATATCATATTATCATCTCTATGTTACATCAATAATTAATGTAACATGTCAATAATCAATATTTTACATTAATAATAGTGTTATACTATTAACTATGTGTCAAAACATGTGAAATTTTAAAAATTAGGTGACAAAATGTACAATTTTAGAAGTTAGGTAACAAATTGCAAAAAGTGAAATTAAGGGCATCTCTAATGCAAGTAACTCATTTGAATTGCTTCATGCATTAAAAAATGAAAAAAGTAGTCTCTAGTGTGTCATGTCAACATTAAGCAACTCAATCACAAATTTACATCGATGGTAAGAAACTTTAAGAAATTCAACTTTTATAATTTTTTTTCTAATCATTTATGAACCAAATTTAAATTTTTATTAAAAAAGATAATTACACTACCATGAAAGAAAATAAATTACGAGAAAAAATACACAATAAGTAGATATTAAAAATAAAATAAAACAATAGTAAATACATAAACAATATAAGAAATTAATTTTCATCATTATTATTTTCGAAATGTTCTCAAATATGTTTAATAAGATCTGCTTGAAATCTGGTAAGGAATGGTTACTTGAGGAAGCAACTCTCTCTCTTCTTCAAGCAACTCATGTTGCCACGTCAGAATCTTCCAATGACAAGAAACCGGGACTTGAGTTAATTCATGGGACAAGCAACTCCTATTGGAATTGCTCTAAGTCAAATATTACATTATGAGATGATTCTAATTAAATTCTTATTAAAATTAAAAATAAAAATAAAAATAAAAATAAAAAAAAACTGCAAGAAAATATAGTTAGCGCAGCCACTATTGCGGTTACAAACCAAAACACAATCAAAATGCTGGTATATATATATATATATATATTCTATTCCTGTGTTGGAAACCCATTTATTTGAATAAGATTTTGATATTACCCTGCAGGAAAGATCACGAGTACTATTGCGCATTGCTGATATGATTGAGAAACACAGTGATGAGCTTGCAACACTGGAAACATGGAATAATGGCAAGCTTTATGAACAGGCAGCCAAAATTGAATTACCATTGGTTGTACGTCTGCTTCATTACTATGCTGGTGAGAAAGCGCAGTGACACCAATATAAACTTCATAGATAGATGAGACATTACTTTTGGAAAATCTAAGTGTTAAATTCTAAACATGACATGTTCATAAAAAAAATATTATGAATCTCAAAATACATATGAACTAAATGATGAGTCATGTTTAATCAAAATCCTCAACTAAACTCCATTTTCCAACAATAAGATGTTTATTTATGTATTATATAATCATATATACTTGAATACGTGATTTTATTTTTCTGATGATTTCCCATCCCACCCATAATTGGTTCAGGTTGGGCAGATAAAATTCATGGTGTCACGGTTCCGGCTGATGGGAATTATCATGTACAAACATTGCATGAACCAATTGGGGTTGCAGGGCAAATCATACCTTGGAACTTTCCTCTATTGCTGTTTGCTTTCAAAGTTGGACCTTTGACTGGTTTATTTGCTGCACAGCTATTTCTTGAGGTACTCTTAATGGGTATATCTTCCAAATTAAATAACACTGATGAATGATAATGTTGCATTTTGGATTGTAGTGCATCTAAAATGCATATTCTGTGAGACTGTGACAGGCTGGTCTTCCACCAGGGGTCCTAATTGTGTCTGGTTTTGGTCCAACTGCTGGTTCTGCTCTTGCTGGTCATATGAATGTGGACAAGGTAATAAAAATACATATATATGACCATCTGAATTCATTAACCATGAACTTGTCTTGTTAAAGATCCTTATTTTTACTACAATATGATGTGATGTGTAGGAACGTTTAATCCCTTATGCCTCGAAATGCCATTAGGGATTGATTTTAGCATACAATATATAACAAAAGAAATCAGCAGCGCTGTTTTGATTCGAATGACTCCGTGAAAAAATGTGTTGAGATTTGAGAACGACTTCAGATTACTATAGTGAGGAAAGGAGAGTGTATTTTATAAGACAAAAATGATTTTTTTGGACGCTCACTTGCTACCATAATTCATGTTGTAACCATGAATGAGTAGTTAAAATTGGTTTGTGAATTTTTTGTTCAGAAACTCTGCGGTACCTTAACATTTTGAGGGGTTTTGGAACCTTTCTTACGTGGCATAAATATTGCATTATTCGCATTCTCATATGAACCCAATAACTTTTCAACAAACCATCTTTTTTTCCTACGTATTTCTAAACTAATTTTTCATGCACTTCAAATTCAAAATAACATAAAGGTACATTTCATTTAACACTAAATCAAACTTCAAAATAACTTCAAAATTAAACTAATCACAATATTTAACAATTGTTCTTCATATCATTATAATTCCAGCCAAGACAAACACTATGATCCAAAGCACAATAAATTTGTTCCTCATTTTAATCTCATTTGTTTTCACCATCTTCAAAACATCCATCACCATTTCTTCCACAACTTCTACCTTCTTATTTGTAACATTTAACTCCTCTCTCAGCTTCTCAATTTTAACCTGTAACTCAGATATATCAGAAATATGCCCAGACACTATTGTTTCTAATTCTTCCACTTGATCCATTTCGTTGAACCATTCAAAAAATCGACAATGACTATTTGTTCCGTTATATCTTCCACAACCAAAAAATTTTCTCCCTGGATTCTTACGAGTTTTTGAGTATTGTATCCTACTTTGAATACCACAATAACATAAAGGCATTTCCCTTGGTAATGTGGATAGCGTAGTCCTGCTTGTGTGCGAAGATGCAGAATTCTCCATTTCTGATATCTAACAAATATAAATACCATGGACAAACATTATCATAACCAATAATGCTTACCACAAATATTATTGTCAAACCACATTAATAAAACAATAATTAAAACGACACAATCACAACACTATCAAATTACAATCTATTTTTTTTCCACGTCGATCAACAATCCATAATAATGCCTTCACAACAAAATACAACAACACCTAAATCACTAATTAATACTTATTAAATCTGGAAAAAAATAAAAACCCTAACAAAATCACATAACAATATGAATCCTAACAACTCACCTAATAAACCAAACAATATTCACGCATACGCTTATTCGTCAAACCAACACTACATCACCAGTCAATTAATGACAATTCGAGCACAACTGAAAAGTTATTACAACTTAATCAAACAAAATTCAACTTACCACTAACTGTTCACTTCACAATCGGGGTGCCTATCCCCCGGACCCACACACAAAACTCGAAAATCAGCTGAGGAGAACAACCTGCAAGGATTTCAAATGCAAAGACAGACGACCTTTATGAGGACAAGAACCTGGAAGGATTTCAAATGGAACCAAACCCACGCTAACGGAGACAACATTTGATGAACACAACAACATCCATGGCAACAAAATGGAAACACAGACACAACAACAAGATGGAAAAGGGAAACCAGACAATTTCGTCGCTTAAGAGAACAACATGGAAACAAAGACAAAGTAACACACAAAACATTTCACGAATAGATCAACATCCATGAGGAGAACAACATGGAAACGGAGATACAACACCTGATCTAACCAAACACGACGATGGCAAGGGAAACAACCTTGCCTTAAAGAGAAGAAGATGGAGCCAACAAGAGACTGAACGAAACAGGGAAATACGAACCTTCGAATGAGAGAAGTAGATGGAGCCACGTTTGATTGCAAACAAAATGAGGTGGCATACATTTACAAATTGGACAAAAGAGGGGACCCGGGTTGGTTTGTTGGATCGTGGGGCAGGGGCGGATCAATCAAATTACCCAATTTTTGGTCAAACTTTCAACACGGTGGATGACATGGAGTTAAGGAACACGTGGCATCACCTCATTCGTTGTCCGTACAGAGGGCACGAAAACCCTCTATTCACAAAGGGCACCCAAGGATTCTCCTTTTTTTTAAACACTTATATATAAATATTATCACATCATAATTCATTATCATTTATATATTTTTTTTTATCTTTCTTTCTTTATGTAGTTTTATACTAGTATTTTAAGATTTTATCTTACATTATTTGATTTGACTGGAGGAGTTATTGCATGAAAATTGTCATATAGTGACACATACTCTATAGTGACACAATACGTGTCACTGAAAACTACTTTTATTCACACAATAAATATAATATATGTTGGTATATTGTTAAAAAGTGTAGGTATAGACTATAGTGACACACAAAATATGTTGTTAAATCTCATTCAAAATCAATACTAAAATTGTATGTAGCTATATGTCAAATAAGTATATACCTACATATATTATATCTATAATGATATTTTTTGTATGTCATTATATGGAATATTTTTCGTAGTGAGTGAATGGTAAATAAAATTTGATTAGTTATTGGGTTCATATGAGAATGCGAATAATGCAATAGTGACATTTAGAATGTAATAAGGAATATTTAATTTTTGGTTGTTAGTTTCACATTTTTTTTAAAGTGAATTAGGTTATTTGAATTAATTTAATTTAGTTATGTAACATGAATGCAATTTTTGAATTGAAGAAGGTTATGATAATCCATAATTCATCTTGTAACCATGAATGAGTAGTTAAAATTGGTTTGTGAATTTTTTGTTCAGAAACTCTGCGGTACCTTAACATTTTGAGGGGTTTTGGAACCTTTCTTACGTGGCATAAATATAATGGTTAACTAATACATATAGTGAGAAGTCAGTTAAATGAATAGCTAAGTTATAGAAATTGCAAATTAGTCCTTGAAGTGTTAAGTTAAAAGTTTAGGATTATTTTTGTTTTTGGTTGTGTAGGTTGATTAGTTACAGGTTTGCCCCATTTCGTTGTCATTCTGGACTCTGACGAGGGTTTATGGTTTTATTCCCTAGTGTAGGCCATTTTATTTTATTCAATGCGAATGTTAGACATTAAGATTAGTTTGTTTTTAAAGTAAAAATTTTTTTGTGTATGTCAATTTGAAGTAGTTATTTTGATTTTTTATTACTATTATTGAACTTAAGTCAGCAACCGAGTTTAATGATTTTGTAATGCATAAAGTTACGAATTTGAAGCGATTACGAATTTCAACTTACGAATTTGAATTGAGTTAGTTGGGAAATATATATAAAAGCTACATATAGGTGATATGATGTGTTAAGAAAAGAGGAAAAAAAGAAATAGGAAGTGTTGATGTAGTATTTAAGAATATGAGATTATAAAAATCATTACCCTTTATAAAAAAAGAGTATAATAAAAATCATTAATTCAAAGATTAGACGTTAATATTATAATGAATTCTAAATTATATTATAAAAGTATTTTATTTTTATCATCCTTTCTATAGTACGTAGTTGATTTCGTGCAATTATAAATGGATATCTCATTATTTTATACATCACATTAATACTCATTATTTCTCTTTATATATCTTTTTATTTATCAAATTGTATTACTTGATATGTATCTATATTTTATTTTCGAATTTCACTCTTATAGAATAAAAGATGTATTTTAAAAGATAAAGTGTAACAATAATTATCAATTAAAAAATTAACAATGAAAATTTATGATAAAATCAAATATATATATATATATATATAAAATAAAAAATTAAAATTAATTATAATATTTATTATTGATTTTTTAATCAATAATTATTATTGTACTTTATAATATAAAAAAAATATTTTTCTCATGAATTCAAAAAGGTTGATTGAGTGTCAAAATCATTTTTTTTATTTAATCAACCACTATAAGCATTTTGTATTTATTAAAGTGTACCTTATCTTCATTGAGAAGAGTTAAATCTATTACGTACAACATATTTCTATATAAAAAAATTACAATTCATGTGTTCTTTCAATTTCCCTCCAATTACATTATCACTTGTCTTGTTCTACATTTACTTTTCTTTTATTTTTATATTTTCTAAATGTAGAAAATATGAATAAGAATAAAAGTTCACTTTAAGCTTTGATGTCATAGACAAAAACCTTTTTTATTTATGGAAATTAACAGTTTTCAAAATGATACCATGCTGATTGCAAGGACGGAGCCAAGGGGGGACCTACGGGTGCCACGGCCCCCCCAACAATTTTAATTTTTTTTTATATTTTTTTTATATGCTTTTGATACTTTAATTTTCATTTATTATAAATTATATATTATTTATTCTCGGCTCCCCAGTATTGAAATCCTGGCTCCGTTCCTGGCTGATTGGGTGACAGTTAAAATCTTTCTTTTGAATCTTTGCAGCTCGCTTTCACTGGATCAACTGAGACAGGAAAAATCATATACGAACTGGCTGCGAAGAGCAATCTTAAGGCTGTGACACTGGAACTAGGAGGAAAATCACCATTCATAGTGTGTGAGGATGCTGATGTTGACAAGGCCGTGGAACTTGCACACTTTGCTCTTTTCTTCAATCAGGTTCATTCCATCTATTCTCTATCCTTTCAATTCGCTAAGAGCCAGCTAGGCCCGCACACGTGAATAACATATTTATAATGTGTTATTACTTATTAGGGCCAATGCTGTTGTGCCGGGTCACGTACTTACGTGCATGAACGAAAATACGATGAGTTTTTGGAGAAAGCAAAGGCTATGGCTTTGAGACGTGTTGTCGGTGATCCATTCAAGAAAGGCGTGGAACAAGGACCTCAGGTAAATAAATATATATATCTCTTGGGTTAATGGTTTTTTTTTTTTTTTTTGGGTCACAAGTATTTTAGCCTTCTTGAGTAATATAACTCTTCTGATCTAATCCTAAGGATTTTTCACTTAATAGTTTTTTTAGTCCTTTGAAAATGGATCAATATTTTTCTGATTTTTTAAAATTTTGAGTTTTTGTCTTCATATTTTTAAAATATCCAAATTTTAATTTCTAAAATCATAACAAAATATTTTGAAGTAATTTCAAAATATTTTCCATTTTTTTAAATGATTTGATATTGTTATCTTTTACTGTCTGTTGTGAGAATCTCAGATTGATTCAGAACAGTTTGAGAAAATCCTACGATACATAAGGTCAGGTATTGAATCCAACGCTACTCTGGAATGTGGCGGTGAGAGAATTGGCACAAAAGGCTTCTTTGTCCAACCAACAGTCTTCTCAAGTGTTAAGGTGTTGTTTATATTTCTTATTGATTGCTCTTGATTCCGGACATACTGATAAGGTTATCTTTTAGACAATTATTGCTGACGCAAGTCATTGATCAGGATGATATGCTGATAGCTAAAGATGAGATCATTGGCCCAGTCCAAACCATACTAAAATTCAAGTATGACTTACAGAACTTTAAGACTCACCTTTTCACATTTGTAGTGTATTAATATCGTTAATTAACTTGGTTTAAGCAAATAAAACAAAAAAAATTGACTTTCAAAATATATTGACAACTCTCACTTCACAAATTTTATGATTGTGGTTGTTCGTGTTGAGCTATATGCATAGGTGGAGCCAAAAATTTGGCTTGAGGAGCTAAGATTTTTTTTTAGGAGAATCCTTGGGTGCCCTTTGTGAATAGAGGGTTTTCGTGCCCTCTGTACGGACAACGAATGAGGTGATGCCATGTGTTCCTTAACTCCATGTCATCCACCGTGTTGAAAGTTTGACCAAAAATTGGGTAATTTGATTGATCCGCCCCTGCCCCACGATCCAACAAACCAACCCGGGTCCCCTCTTTTGTCCAATTTGTAAATGTATGCCACCTCATTTTGTTTGCAATCAAACGTGGCTCCATCTACTTCTCTCATTCGAAGGTTCGTATTTCCCTGTTTCGTTCAGTCTCTTGTTGGCTCCATCTTCTTCTCTTTAAGGCAAGGTTGTTTCCCTTGCCATCGTCGTGTTTGGTTAGATCAGGTGTTGTATCTCCGTTTCCATGTTGTTCTCCTCATGGATGTTGATCTATTCGTGAAATGTTTTGTGTGTTACTTTGTCTTTGTTTCCATGTTGTTCTCTTAAGCGACGAAATTGTCTGGTTTCCCTTTTCCATCTTGTTGTTGTGTCTGTGTTTCCATTTTGTTGCCATGGATGTTGTTGTGTTCATCAAATGTTGTCTCCGTTAGCGTGGGTTTGGTTCCATTTGAAATCCTTCCAGGTTCTTGTCCTCATAAAGGTCGTCTGTCTTTGCATTTGAAATCCTTGCAGGTTGTTCTCCTCAGCTGATTTTCGAGTTTTGTGTGTGGGTCCGGGGGATAGGCACCCCGATTGTGAAGTGAACAGTTAGTGGTAAGTTGAATTTTGTTTGATTAAGTTGTAATAACTTTTCAGTTGTGCTCGAATTGTCATTAATTGACTGGTGATGTAGTGTTGGTTTGACGAATAAGCGTATGCGTGAATATTGTTTGGTTTATTAGGTGAGTTGTTAGGATTCATATTGTTATGTGATTTTGTTAGGGTTTTTATTTTTTTCCAGATTTAATAAGTATTAATTAGTGATTTAGGTGTTGTTGTATTTTGTTGTGAAGGCATTATTATGGATTGTTGATCGACGTGGAAAAAAAATAGATTGTAATTTGATAGTGTTGTGATTGTGTCGTTTTAATTATTGTTTTATTAATGTGGTTTGACAATAATATTTGTGGTAAGCATTATTGGTTATGATAATGTTTGTCCATGGTATTTATATTTGTTAGATATCAGAAATGGAGAATTCTGCATCTTCGCACACAAGCAGGACTACGCTATCCACATTACCAAGGGAAATGCCTTTATGTTATTGTGGTATTCAAAGTAGGATACAATACTCAAAAACTCGTAAGAATCCAGGGAGAAAATTTTTTGGTTGTGGAAGATATAACGGAACAAATAGTCATTGTCGATTTTTTGAATGGTTCAACGAAATGGATCAAGTGGAAGAATTAGAAACAATAGTGTCTGGGCATATTTCTGATATATCTGAGTTACAGGTTAAAATTGAGAAGCTGAGAGAGGAGTTAAATGTTACAAATAAGAAGGTAGAAGTTGTGGAAGAAATGGTGATGGATGTTTTGAAGATGGTGAAAACAAATGAGATTAAAATGAGGAACAAATTTATTGTGCTTTGGATCATAGTGTTTGTCTTGGCTGGAATTATAATGATATGAAGAACAATTGTTAAATATTGTGATTAGTTTAATTTTGAAGTTATTTTGAAGTTTGATTTAGTGTTAAATGAAATGTACCTTTATGTTATTTTGAATTTGAAGTGCATGAAAAATTAGTTTAGAAATACGTAGGAAAAAAAAATGGTTTGTTGGAAGGTTATTGGGTTCATATGAGAATGTGAATAATGCAATAGTGACATTTAGAATGTAATAAGGAATATTTAATTTTTGGTTGTTAGTTTCACATTTTTTTTAAAGTGAATTAGGTTATTTGAATTAATTTAATTTAGTTATGTAACATGAATGCAATTTTTGAATTGAAGAAGGTTATGATAATCCATAATTCATGTTGTAACCATGAATGAGTAGTTAAAATTGGTTTGTGAATTTTTTGTTCAGAAACTCTGCGGTACCTTAACATTTTGAGGGGTTTTGGAACCTTTCTTACGTGGCATAAATATAATGGTTAACTAATACATATAGTGAGAAGTCAGTTAAATGAATAGCTAAGTTATAGAAATTGCAAATTAGTCCTTGAAGTGTTAAGTTAAAAGTTTAGGATTATTTTTGTTTTTGGTTGTGTAGGTTGATTAGTTACAGGTTTGCCCCATTTCGTTGTCATTCTGGACTCTGACGAGGGTTTATGGTTTTATTCCCTAGTGTAGGCCATTTTATTTTATTCAATGCGAATGTTAGACATTAAGATTAGTTTGTTTTTAAAGTAAAAATTTTTTTGTGTATGTCAATTTGAAGTAGTTATTTTGATTTTTTATTACTATTATTGAACTTAAGTCAGCAACCGAGTTTAATGATTTTGTAATGCATAAAGTTACGAATTTGAAGCGATTACGAATTTCAACTTACGAATTTGAATTGAGTTAGTTGGGAAGAAGAAAATAAAGAATACATAAAGTATAAGAAAGGCAATTATAGTGATGAAATTAACGACAGTAGGATCAAAGTAATTACCTTAGGTTCAGGAATTTTAAGAAAGTAGTAAAATGTAAAATAATTAATGTACATATAGTTTAGGATTTTTTTTTTATATCGAAGTCAAGTAGTTGTAGCATGAAGTAATTTAGTATTTATTATTCATAATATAGGTATGTTAAAAAAACTAAAAATATATTTAAGTTTTTTTATCTAAGGAAATTGCAATGTAAACGTACCCCATTTATTAATTTTACATGGGCCAAATTTTAAGTAACCGAATTGGAGTACAAAAATTAGTTAGGTGGTGTTTATATATATATATATATGATGATCCAATTATTAATCCTAAAGCCCAAAAAGATAAATGTAATATGGGCCTACAAGACCTGGTAATGGAATTATTTAGTGGCTTGGTTATTAGAAGTTAAAAGGTCTGATTGTTTCAAAATTCCTAAAGGCAAACCGTCGAACACAAGGTTAGGTTAAATATTTGTTTACGGCTGGAGACCAATGGCCCCAAGAAGGCAAACATCGATTAAGGAGATGAAGACTTTAGGGTGGTTCGTGACGTTTCATCGGAAAAAAAAGGTAATTTTATGATTTTGTTTACGTTTTGAAAGTTATTTGGTTGACAATTTTGAGTTTTGTTCGTTAGCCTTTTGGAAAAGTAGAGGAAGACTTCTGGAACGATTTTAAGGATGAATTGGGTGGTATCTGGACACTAATTGATGAAAAGGAAAACAAACACGAACTGAAATGTGAAGTCATCCGTGAAGAACCACTCCTGACAGATGGTTGGGGTTTCTTGCGAAAATTTTATGGGATGACTGGAGATCATTCCATCATGTTTCGGTACGTAGGGTTGAGGTTGTTTGACATTACTGTATGGATTAACCCATCGAACCTAAAATCCATAGATGAAGCTACAAACCCTTCGCGTTCATGTGGTAATCCTAACCCGGTAAGTCCATCTGAAAATCGGCGACCTAGTTATACGAAAAAAGTGTTCAAAGTAGTGCTGAATGAGTACAAAGCAAGTGGAAGACAATTGGTCAGTATATTTAAATTTTTGTCTTTTTAAAAATATAACCTTTTTTTTCATGAATAGAGAGAGTACAAATTTATTGTTTTTTATTCTGACAGAGCTTGCCAGTTGAATTTGGAGATCATTTGCGTAAGAGAAGATGGAAAACATTGAATATTTGTGGTCCTGTGGAGATGGTGAAATGTTCTATCATCATTCCTTCTGAGGGAAGGAAATCTGTAAAACTTGGGAAAGATTGGAAGTTTTTTTGTTACAAAAATCAGTTTGTTGCAGAAGATGAACTTGAATTTTCATTTCCTCATGATAGACGCAATTTGGCGCATGTTATGAAGATTGAGAATTGATTATGGTAATTTTAATATTTGTTTTAGGGTTTATTTATAATATTTTGCTGTTATGAAGTACAGTTGATTAACAAAGTCAATCTGGTTTGTTATGATATATTATAAACATTATGCTTAGGGTTTGATACTGAGTAAGTTCAATTTTTATATATTTGACGTTTTTAAATATTATATTCTATTATGCAATTGTTATAATGGTCCTAGTTTTGATTATGTGATGATTCAAGTTTACAAAATTTGATGTTTCGGATGTTTGATAGCCCAATTAAATATTTAAGTATTAGAAAAATGTGAATTGGTTTTATACCTAAATTATGTTATTTTAAAAAAATCTCAATCTGATCTAAACCAAGATTTTGTGATTTTATGATAAGGATAGTAAATTTGATTTACATCATATTAAATACATGATATATTGATTAATATAAAAGACAAGACATGTTTGAATAGTAAACTAATTAGATTTGGAGTAACAAAATAAACATTGTATTTTGGGTTTTAGGAAAAATATTGTCCGACAATATTTGTTTAGGTTGGCTAATGGTTGAACTATCGAAAGACTTCCCAGAGAACAACTTGTTAATAACAACATATTAAAGAATAAAATTAATATAACATAATAAAGTAAATGTTTTTCATGTTTGTGTTTTAAATCCTTTCAGTATTACTCGTAATTTCCAATTACGAAAATAAATATGGTTGATTTTAAAAGGAACCTCCTGAGTTGTAACGTTAATTGTAACAAATATTAAATTGCAAATTTGATAAAATATTTAAGATATTCGAAAAAGTATTATTATATAAGATATTTATTTAATAAATTCAAGCATAAGAAGAATGGCTATAACAGTTAATTAAGATAAAGAAAATGTATAAAGCACACAAATGTAAGAAATTAATGTTTTAAAATCCTATTCATTGGTAACTATTGAGACAAACATGAAATTGTCATAATATTTTAATTTTCCAAATTCAACGATATTTACCAATTTTCAATTTCCAATGTTTAATAAGTTGAGACCACTGTGGTGTGAGATAACAGTCATTTGTTATTTGTCTTCCTCTGATGTTCTACCTGATAGCACAAACCAATGTTTGAGACATTTCATCCACCAATTTCTTTCAGATTTAAATTCATGGCACTGAAGCAGAATGAAGTAGGCAGCAACTAGAAGATGGAGACAAGTTATTAAGTAATAAGTGGTTAAAAACAAAATTAAAAAAAAAACAAGAATTATAAATATTAAACATACCGGTTTAGATGAAGTGATGTGACTTTTTTTCAAGAATTTCTGACAATCATAAATAATATTGTTGGCCAGGAAAAACAATGTAGGTATATTACCATATGGCTGAAAAAAATTATATTACTCAGACAAATGATGAATCTGGGCAAGAAAAGTTGGCAGTAGTCATGCCAGCCCAGTACGCATGAAGGTAGGACAGTAATTATGATGAATCTGTGCAAGAAAAGTGGCAGTAGTCCATTATGATGAATCTGTGCAAGAAAAGCGGCAGTAGTCAGGCCACCCCAGTACGCATGAAGGTAGTACAGCAATTGTGATATACGCCATTGATAGTAATACTGCCATGTGTTTATTGATTTGAAGAAGAAATCAAGCAACTTGCGACTTCTCCAATATCCATGATTACTAGTGAGGATAAAAAATTTTGTTCGAATGAGTCAGAATATTAAAATACTCATATTTTTAAATGATATTAATTAAATAATTATAATGAAATAATATATTAATTAAATAATTTTGTTTGATATTTTTCCTTTGAAATAAAAATATTGATTTAAGTGTGTGATGTTAAACTCTTAATAATTGGACAATATACGATTAATTTGTTTGTTGGTTATAGTTACTACTTACTAGTAAGTCAGTTAATTTGTAAATTACAAGTTACAACTTTCAAAAATAAAACTAACAAGTAATATTTAATAATACTTTTTATTGACATTTAAAACAAAAGGTTTTTTAATAAACACATGTATATATAACATTTAATTTGAATATTTAAACGTAACAAATTTAGTACCAATAAGTTTATTCAACAAATGCAATACAAAAATAAGTACAATGCGTAACATTTTTGAATACTACGTACACATGTATATATTGAACATAAAATACAGATATTATACATGTTCCATTTGTCCAATTAAAAACTGATACATATAAAGTTGCAAATTTAAATAAAAGTTGAGTAAATACAATTATCATTGTCCTTCAATACTCCAAATAAAATAGTACATCCTTCCTTCATATTGTTGACATGGCAATAGTCAGTCCATCCTCCAGTTAAACTGCAATGCAGATTTGATCCACTTTCCCAAACTATAATGCATTCAAATATGTTGTCTTTTGGATCAACTAAATCAATATTTTTCATAGTTTTCGAAATAGCATTTTCACAAAAACCCATTGGCAGTTTCTGTAAACCAAAAAATTACGTATTTCATAAATTAATTAATAAATTAAATTATAAATATAACAAAATAAATGAAAATTAATTAATTGCATTGCATACCAGAGTAGATTTCGTAACATCATCAGCATTCATCTGTTTATACAGCTTATGCAAATATTCAGAAGGTTGTGGAATGTCCAGTACCATTTTATTAGTACTCATACTA